TTTGGGTTGGAAAAGACACTGTGTACTCAGAAATCAGCATGTTGTTCTGTGAGAGCTTTGAAGACAGTGGCAATAGGATTACAGACAATAGAGGAGTTGATTCTGAAGTTTATGAGTGAAGGTTGAAACTCTATCAGAACAATTTAACATTTTGAATTAATAATCAGCTGAGACTAACAAGATACAAAAACTGTTACTGATGTTGCAGGACTTTTGAGTCTCAGTTTGAACTTAAATTTGAAAGAACCCCACTGTCTCCGGACACATCCCAGGAGGGGCACATTCCTTAGTCAGAGAAAACTTGCTAGATTAACATTCAGAGGAAGAAGGGAGAGGCAGGTTAACATTCCTCAGACCACAGTGGAGGGAAACCCCCTGTGGGTGAGGAAGGTCCAGAGCACACAGACACATTCCAGAAATCAGGAAGATGGTCCCTTAATGTAATAAACCTGGGCAAATGGAAAACACTCACTGTCCTAATCTGATTCACCTAGAGACTGGCCTTTGTGGTTTTCCTCATAAACTCTGTATAAAAACTGTTCCCAACTGTGGCTTGGGGTTCCTCTGGTCTGTGTACAGGGGAACCCCAGTATACTGGGTTTTATCAATTTATCAATAAACCTCATGTTATTGCAGCAAATCCTGTCTGTGAGTGTTTCTGAAGGAGTGTGTTCCCTGGTTTGGGATCTTAGAGTCCAATAATGTGTTTATAAAAAGATAAAGAGATATGGGATATTTTCTATGGGTATGTGGTGAGGTATGAGGGAAGGGGATGCCTCAGCCAGCTCATGCTGAGGCATCCCTTCCCACTGAGGGACCAGCCACATGATGGTACAGTATTTAATAGAGTGTATTCAGGGCATGAGGAGGGGAGTTAAGAGGGTAGTAGAAGCAGAGGGGGGAAGGGAAGGGAGGGGAGGGAAGGGGAGGGGAGGGGAGGGGAGGGGAGGGGAGGGGAGGGGAGAGGAGAGGAGAGGAGAGGAGAGGAGAGGAGAGGAGAGGAGAGGAGAGGAGAGGAGAGGAGATTAAAAGGCCGGCCATTAGCACATAAAGAAAGGGGTAAGGGAATGCGGAAGGAGAAAGGAAAAGGGAGGAGCAAGAGACAAGAGAACAAGGGGGCAAGAGAGAGAGAGAGGAATGGTCAAGCTTTTATAGTGGGCCAGGTCTACATGACTATTGCCAGCTAACTGTGGGGGGGTTGAGTTTAGGTGTCCCTTGGTCTTTGGGTGGATGTAATCTCTCATGCGTTGAGTGGGGGTCTCCCCTCTCCAGGAGGCCTTTCATTTTAGTGCATTGGCCTGGAAGTTGCAACCACCCAAGTCACGGGAACCCTCTTGGAGGTAGGATTTCACTTGCTTTGTTTTGTCTTTGTGGGCATGTGTTTGCCTGACTGGTTTCTGAAAAGTGGACTTCTTTCAGTTTGCAGCCATTCATTTTTCGAGGGAGCAAAGGAGTGACCATGACAGACATGCTAAGGCGTCACTGGCTGTGGCCCTGGAGGTGGTCAGGGATCCCCAGGGACACCTGGGTGACTCCTGTCTGGAGGCTGAGGAAGATACAGTGATCTTGGTAGAGTGGAGGACCTCAGTAAATTCCCAGCCATCTGTTTTTCTGGAGTGGTGTTAGCACTCATGATAGAGACTATTAGTCTCTTTGTGTAGTTGTTTTGTGTTTTGTGTTACTCGTGATGTGATAGGGACAACAGACTGTGTACTGTGTATGAGAGGTTTCTGTGCAGGAGCAAGAACTGGACAAGCCACGGAAAGCATTTTTAATGGGTTCTCCCACTGACAGCTTATGTCTTGATTGTGTTGTTTTTCTCTGTTTTAAGTTTCTCTGAACTGTTGTGTGTTGATTGTCTCTCTATGTGTCATTGGACTTAGACTGATATTATTTTGGACTGAATCTACTGTGTTGAATATCCTGAGTTAACAAGAGGTAACATGGCCACTGGTAGAGAAAGGGCTAAAACAATTGTCTGCTCTGCGGTGTGTTAGCAAAAGAAAAGGAACTCTCCGGCTCCTACTGGAGAGATTCCTGGTTATGCTTTCTTTGTCTATTGTGAGTCCTTGGCATGCCAAATTTGTCCACATGTGTCATTGTCTGTCTTCGTTTTGAAGACCTCCGCAGAGGGGAGACCCTCACTCAAGTCTCAGAAAGTCGCGACCACCCAGTAATCTGCTCGAGACACCATGTACCAGAGCAATAGTGAGGTTTATTAGGGCGTGACAGCTAGCTGCTGGTCAATTCGTATGCCCACACAGGAGCTGAATTGACCCCGACAGACAGTTTGAGAGGGATTTTTAAAGGGAAAAACCACAAACCAAGGAATGGGGAGGGGGACAAGGGGTTGTTAAGGTGGCATAAAAATAGCGGAACATTCCAAAGGAACCCAACCTACATGAGTCAGGGTCAGGTGAAAACTCTCTGTACGCTTATCTTTCTCAAGAATGTGGTCCTGCCCTGTTACTTCTGCCTTGCCCTGTCACTGAGGTTCCCAGATTGGTTCCCAGCTTGGTTCTCAGCTTGGTTCTCAGCTTGGTTCCACCTAGTTCACTTGCATTCTTTCCTTTCTCTTTGCGATAGGCCAGTTCCTGTAATGGTGACTGGTCTTTCCACATTCCTAACATACTTCATGGCTCAGTTTCTCCATGTCTTTATAAAGAAAGCCTAAAGAATATTTTATATGTCTAAAAAGAATTCTATATGCCCAGTATCTATAATTTTTCACTCTACAGTTCCATTAGAATTAGTGACTGTTCTATATTTCATGTTGAGAAAGATAAAAAGGGTTAAAATGTCTGGCTTGATTTAGCTTAAAACTTGTTTAAAAGGCAACCTAAATTTCCACAAAAAAAGCTGATAGGCAAGTCCCCCTGTTCTGCAGCTGGAAGTGAGGCACAGCAGGAGGAGCCCTGGCAAAAATGATTCTTTGCACAAGCTGCTCTTGGGGAGGCCAAGAACTTTTTGGCTTTCCTGGTAAAGAAACTGATTTTTTTTTTCTTCCCCCAAGATTGAAAAGAAGATTTCAGTGTAAGTTTTACCTGGGATCAAATAAGGCCCTGATGAACTACTACAGGAATTTGTAGATAGGCTATTAAAAGGACAGGTAAGATTTTTAGAGACCCTCAGGCAAGAATCTCATTTACACAATTGGCTTATGAGAATGCTAACTACAGTCCAAGCCGTGCTTTCACAGTGCTGAGGTGATAAGGAATGTTCTAGGTATGGGGACATAGGTCATTTGGATAGGAAAGACTATCCAAAAAATAGAGACATAGACAGACAGCAGAATCATTCCCCTAGAATCTGTTCTTAGTGCAGGAAAGATAATCATTGAACCAGGCCTCAGGAAATAGGCCTAAATAAAGAACTTTCACATTTGAGTTAAAACGAAGCTCAGAGTGGGCTCAGCAGAAGCTGGTGTGACATTCCTTTTGTCATGGCCACTCCAACTAGCCTTTAGAAAGGTGTTTTCCGGAATTTGTTTTATTGCCTTGCTTCTTCCTTGAGGAGGAAAGGTCAGCCTTAGACCCAAAGACATTCATAAGAGACAGCTTATGGGCCAGAAATTATATAATTCTCCAGCATACGCTGGAGATATTAGAATTACAGCCTGACTTGCCTACCCGAGCTGCCATTCCAGGAAATGCATATAGAATTATTATGGATTTAGAAGAGTGTTTGTATACTGTTCCTTTACATCCTGGTGAAGGTGAGAGGTTTGCATTCATTGAGTATGCTTGTAATTTTTGAGAGACCATGAAGTGATATCACTAGAAAGTTTTGCCTCAAGGAATGGCTAATAGCCTTACAAGAAGTTAAGGGTAAGAAAAGTAAAAATAGAAAGCAGTTTCAATTGGCCTTTGGAGCCCTGCACCTGTGGTTATGAGTGTAACACAGCATGGAAAAGCCCTGCTATGGTCTTATTGATGTAAAAGCCTCTCTTAAAGGAGCCAGCAGGTTTTTTTGGCTTCTATGGTAAGGAGCTGATGGTTCGTTTCTCCTAGAAAAATCTGTGACTATGATTACTGAGTTCAGCAGGTCACAAGGTGCTTCTCTTGAAATTACACCTAGAAAAAGTAACAAAATTTTGTTTGGATAAAAAATATAAGATGTGCATTTACTTCACTTTTGTTTCTGACTGGTTTTAAAAGTATAAAAATGTTCTACATGTCTTGGTTATAGATTATTGCCCTATAAGTTATTGGGTATGATTAAAAAATTGCAACCTTGGTAACAGAAAGTTGGCTTAAAACTGGTAACTCAGGATTGGAGTCATTCAGAAACCAGATCTATAAAGATAGAAATTAAAACAATGTCTATTTAAGAGTTATTAAAAGCTGCACTATCATGCATTCATATATAAGAACTGGCTGCCAAACTTTGTAACATAAAAGTAATGCATTTAGTGTTGATTTTAGAGAAAAAGGATTGTTTTCATTGTTAGAAATTGGTTTTGTTTCTCAAAATTATGGTTACACGCTAGTATTGCAAAAGAAACTTAAAAATATAGTTAAACTGCCAGTATTTCATTGGCTGCAGTTAACTGTTTAATTGCAAGCTCGAGAATTCCTGACTCATCCAAGTTTATGGATGAAAAGAAGATTGAGCAGGTAGAGATGATTGCCAGAGTAAGAAAAAAGCCGGCATCCGCGGAAAATCAGTCACAGCCAGCGCTAACTTCAGCCCCTAGCCCAACTTATGGCTGAAGGTAAGGAGGGTCTGACAGCTTACATGTAAAATATATATGTATAAACTGTGGCATAGACAGATCTCAGATCTCATTCTGGCAGCTGAATTTAGTAATGTGTGAGAATTTCCCATGTAGTACTTGTGGTAAATCTGAGCTTTGGCAATATGAGATGCCTTGTGAAGTCATTGGTAAAGGGTATAGCTTCAGTGGCAGTAGGATCTCAGGACTGAAGGGGCCATGGAAAAAAGATGAGGTTTAGAAATACATGGCAGGATCATAATCCCTAAAGAGAACCATCAAGAGGCTACTGGTCAAGGTGAAGCAAAGTTGCAGCAAAAAACACAGGATTTTGGAGATGCTAGTACCATGGGACAACCACAAAGGAAAGTTGAAGCTGTGAAGTGGGTATAGCTTGAGTTTTTGAGATATTATGTATGTTATGGATGACATATGAATGAGCACACTGAAAGTTGTAAGCTGAAATAAACCTTTTCTTTCTTAAGTTGATTTTTGTCTTTATCAGCTAAGCTGATATATCACCAAATAAGTAAATTACTTTTTTTTTAGATATTATGAGTAGCACATCATATGTAAGATGTTAAAGAACGTGTAGGCTGGCATTCATAATTTCATACATTAAGAATAATACTATTTTACATTATTTCATACTTGACTTTCTTTAATGATCTTTTAGATTATAAAGTGAGGAAACAATTGGATAATATGAACCACTTTCATTTTACATACTTCTGGAGATTTTTTCTTAACCAGGCCAAACTGAATCTGGACACAGTGGAGTAATGACTCATAAAAACAAAAGGGGCAAAACAGGGAAAACACAGAGAAGAAAGGTAATTTATGTTCGTCAGCCACCAATTCTGATTAGGCAAAAATGCAATGAAACCTCTTAAGATAGAGGGAAGAGTATAAAAGGTGAGAAAGGTAGACACCAGTATAAGGATGTTCTGGGTGGCTCTGTACTCATGGGAGGTTCTGCAAAATCCATGAATTCTGTGAAGGTATTGAACCCTCTGCTTGTGTCTATACAGAATGACAATCATGGAACCACTGGACCAGGCAATGAGTACAGAAAAGAAGACTTCAGAGCATACCACCAGTGCCAAATACAGTGAGTCAGTGATGTCATCGGTCCCTTTAAGAGAACAATATCGAAAACCTCGTTTCCTTGTAACATTTTTCTCATTCCTCTTGATAATTGTGTACATAAATAAAATGAAATAGATCAACATATACAAGACCCAAAGGAGGGAAATTGAGTAGCCAATGTTATTGGCAGGTTTAAACTTATGATTCTTCCAACAGATTATCCTGGGACTGATGGTTATGACTTGGAATACACTCAAGAGGCAGGTGGTGCAAATAGACACACTTCTGCCAAATTCTTGAATATAAACTAGGAACTCACACTCAAAGTTATTCAGGAACTCCTTTAACCCAAAAACTGCAATTGTTTGGTGCACTCCTGAAAAGAGAATGACCAAGACATTGGCTATTAGTAGGTGCATAAGAATGAAGTCTGTGGGCTTTAATGTATGTTCTCTGTTGTAAAGGACTAGATAATAGAATAAAAGAGTGAAATTTCCAAAAATTCCAGTTGTAATTTGTGATAAGAAAATGATCTTGATTGCCACATTCCAGAAGTCCATTCTGTCATTCAGCACAATTTCTATTGTCTGAGGCCAAAGTATTTCTCTGGTCAAAAAAAAATAATGGCAAACAATTACAATCTGATGTAAAAGAAAATACCTTTTATCCACAGAGGTACTGATAGGATGCAACAGATTGTCTCTTATACTCATGAGTACAAGGCCAGTTTCGATTGGAGTGGTTACTCTAAATGTGTTACTGTGGGATTTCTCAATATCTGAGAGTAGAATTATTAATGGATAAGGATCCATTAAATTTCTTTAAAAATGAAGAACCAAATTGATAAGATGTTGGTCTGTGAGAAACAAAGAAAGTGACATGCACCATAAACACATATATGATGAGACATTCTGAATATACTGATATATGCTAGTCATGATACAAAAGAAATCAACTTCAATAACAACCACAAAACTTAAATCAAGCAATTTTCAGACAAAATATTTTTATAGGTTATTTGGAAATTTCATGTAATTCACCCTGATCATGTTCACATTTTTGTTTTCCCATGTCAAAGCCCCTGCCTTGTGACCTCCCCTGATAAAAAGAAAAAAATTCTGAGTCCAATTTGCATTGTCCATATCCCATATGCAGCCAGTCAGTTCTTTATAATAAAATAATACATAATGTATAGCTCATCTACAACTAAAAGATAACTGATGAGAAATATATAATACTACTTAGAATATATCTATAGTATTGTTACAGGACAATGTTTCCTCTATCTGTTCTCAGTGGCAGCTGTGTTTCTTTAACATGCAATTGATTGATCCTCATTTTTCTACCAATTCCATAAAAGGTTTCACCAGTTGAGGAATGGGACCATCCACCCATCTCAAAATCTTTAACCAGAATTAATCCCGTCTAAAGAATACACAGGAACAAAAAATGGAGCAGAGACTGAAGGAAAGGACATCTAGAGACCGCCCCACCTTGTGATCCATTCTATCTGCAGACACCAAACCTGAAGACTATTATTGATCCCAAGAAGTACTTGCAAACAGAAGTCTGGTACAGCTGTACTCTGAAAGGTTTTGCCAGTACCTGACCAATGTAGACACAGATGCTAGCAGCCAACCATCTGACTCAACCTTTGGAACCCAATTGAAGAGTTAGGGAAAGGATTGAAGAAGGTGAACGAGGTTTGCAACCCCATAGGAAGAACAATAATATCAATTTATCTGACCCCTCAGAGCTTTCAGAGATTAAACCACCAACCAAAGAGTAGACAAGAGTAGGTCCATGGCTCTCACTACATATGTATAAGAGGTCTGCCTTATCTAGCATCAATGAGAGGCCAGGTGCTTGGTCCTGTGGAGGCCTGTTGCCCCAGTGAAGGTGGAAGCTAGAGGGATGAGACAGGAGTAGATGAATAGATGGGAAAACAACCTCTTAGAGGCAGGGGAAAAAGGGATGGGGGAAGGGTTTGCTGACGAAAGACTGGGAAGTGTGACAACACTTGAAATTTAAATAAATAAAATAATTAATAAAAAGAGAGTAAGCAACCTTTTTCTAGACAGTGGAGTTTAAAATGCCCAATATATCTCCATGTTTTTGTTGCCTATAATACTGCTTGTTTGCTTTGCTTTCTCGTATTTTAAGCACAATGCAGATTTTCTGGTTTTTTGTTTTGTTTTTTGTTTTGTTTTTTGTTTTGTTGTGTTTTTTGGTTTCTTGTTTTGTTGTGTTTTTTTGTTTTTTTTTTGTTTTTTATTTTTGGGGGTTTGTTTTTTGTTTTTTGGTTGGGTTTTGTTTGTTTGTTTGTTTGTTTTTGGTTTTTTTGTTTGGTTTTGTTTGGTTTGGTTTGGTTTGGTTTGGTATTTTGTTGTTGTTGGATTTTGCCTTTAAAAGCTCTATGTAATATGTATTCCAGGTTGCTGTGTGAAAAGTGTTTCACTCCAGTCAGTCATTAAGCCTGCTGAAAATGGACTTTTGTTGGGCTCAGTAGTCTTAGGCTCACTACTCCATAATTATCTTTGTCAAGAAAAAAAAATACTGTAAGTACAAAATTCATTAGAATGATGGTTCAAGTAACAATTCACATCATAATAAGTTAAGAGCTGTCTCTTACTAAAAGTAACACCACATAAAAATACATACCCATGTGGATACATCAAGTCAGGACTCTTAGAGAGAAGGGGACATTTTGTGTGAGGAATGCACTACAAGATAAAAAATAAGCAAAATATACCAGCAGAAACAACAAGAACAGCCAGGTGGTGGTAGTGCACGCCTTTAATCCCAGCACTTGGGAGGCAGAGGCAGGTGGATTTCTGAGTTCAAGGCCAGCCTGGTCTACAGAGTGAGTTCCAGGACAGCCAGGGCTATACAGAGAAACCCTGTCTCGAAAAAAACAAACAAACAAACAAACAAACAAAAATGACAAGAGCAAGGTCACTTTATGATAAATGATAGCTAATGGGGGAAATGTTCAACATCACTATTCAAACTTTGTCTGGGAGAATCACATACCACTCAGGGGTCTAATATGAACATGGTAGGAAAGAAGGTAGTGGTGAAATGGTCTGTCAGCACATTTCAAAGGAAGTAAATGTTTAGTATACCTTTTTCCTGTGAGAGAAGATGTCTGAAAACTTTTCTTATATTGAGTGATTCTCCCTTGCAGAAGCAGACAGTAGAAGGTCTGAATCTGTACCAAGATGAACTAGGTATTCCCAACAAGGATGGTGTTGTACCTCATACTCATCAGCCATGCAGCGACAGTCAGTTGAACAATCAAGAACTGGAGCAGATCTTGAAGTGAATCTCGGGATCTTCTAAAATTTAAATAAAATGGGAAGATAAGCTGAGTTTTTAGGATCTACTAGATTTAGTGTCCTCTTCCTCAAGTACTGGCACTGTAGAACACTCTAGAATGTGGCTCCAAAAAAAAAAATAAAAAATACTCTATTGAGTGACATTTTTCAGGACCAGAAAGATAGATAGCTCTACCCCAAGTGTGATATTATAGCTTCTAACTTAGAAGTGTGTGTTAATGTGTCAGTGAGTGTGTGTGGATTCCAGAAGACGTGAAAGGACCCATGAGAGTGTTGGGGAGTAGAGTAGGAAAGGGAAAACAATACACAATTTTTTAATTAGAAGAAGAAGTAATGGGAATGGCATAGTATGAGCTAGGTTGAGGACAGAGAAATGGGGAGGGGGGGTTGGAAGGGATTAGATCAATCAAAACACTAAGTATGAAAATGCCTTAATGTGACTTGCAACTATATAAGACAATATAAAAATTAAAAATAAAACCAAAACACACAAAAATAAAAACCAGTACAAAGGGAAGGAAGGAGTAAAATATTGAAAATAGCAAAACTGGGTTTGCTTATGGATGAACCAAAAATCTGTTGCCCTTGCAATGTCTGTGAATGCTGCTACAAATGTTTGAAAATGAGTCGTTATTTCTGCTTAAATGGAGCAAACATAACCCTACCTACCAGTAATCACACTTTTTTTAATTTTTACAAGATTCTGTCCATATTTTTAATGATTCTGATAATGAACTTGCATAATTACAGTGTAATATATATCATAGAAGATATTTTATAAGCTACAGTTCCAACTGTTTAATTTTTGATATTAAAATATTATTGCATCATTCCACCTTTCTTTCTTCTAACCCCTTCCAAGCATGATCACACACACTTACCCATAAAGTAATGTCCTTGGCCTATTTTTCTTCAGATGTTGTTATACACACACACACACACACACACACACACACACACATGTGTTTATATGTTTTAACTTATTTAACATAAATATGTACATATATTCATACATGTGTATATACATATATACAAATACATTATATATAAAATGTGTTCAGTCTATGTAATGTTATTTGTATGTACAAGACTTAAGTTCTCACTGTATTGCTGCATAACCAAATAAGTGGCTTTTGCCTGCAGAAGACTGTTTTCTCCTACTCTCAGCAATCCTTCATTGCTTGCATCTCTAACACTTAAAGACAAAATTTTGCATTTCAAAAGTATGAGATTATTCGCAAGAGAGCACAAATCAAAATCAGCTAATTAAAAGACAGAAAAACTGGGACAGATCACAATACAGAAAGGAACTGATTATATGTGGACAAGCCAGAATATTACTATCTATAATACTATAATACTATAATACTATATAATATAATATAATATAATATAATATAATATAATATAATATAATATAATATAATATAATATAAGGGGCCCAGGGGATATTGTGGTAGAGGAAGTAGAAAGATTAGAAGCCAAGAAGAAACAGATATCTGCTGTGAGACAGCATCTCCTAGAAATGTTGGGGAAGCTACATCCAGAGAGTCTCAACAAGGCTTCCTAAACAAATCTTAACAATGACACCAAGAGACATGCAGTCATGTAAAGAGAGAAAATACCATTGTGCCCCAGTAATCCAATTTTTAAGGATAAGCAAACATATAAATTCACTTTTTACATGAGTCAGTAAAAACCACTGGAGTTTTCACCTGCAAACTACCTACGTATGTCCAGTGACAATTAATGATCAATGAACTTATAAGCACAAAGTAGAAATCTACATAACAATTCCAGCCTCTGGAGATTCTGTTATCTTATACATGTGGGAATGGGTAGCTGCTGCTGGCCAGAAGGATAATTATCCACCAAGGTCATCATGTTCCAGAGACTCATTAGCCATGATGTTCACTGTGAGCATCGAGGGAACAAAGTATGTGATGATTAATCTGTCTGTGCTGCAAAACCAAACTATGTTTTATTGCATGCATGAAAAAGAAGCCGAGCTTCATTTGTCATCAAATATTCAGCAGAATCATGTGGTCTGCCATCATCTACAGATGGCTTAGAAATTCAAAGAGAAAGATCTAAAAATCCAAACTCAGTGTCAGAAGTGCTACAAAGTTCTTAAACAAAAAGAGTTAGAAGTTGCTGAGCATATCAGGAGAAGCTGGCAATGGAGGAAGAGATAAGGTACTTTTTGCCAAAAGAGAAAAACAAAGGAAAGG